AGCTCCAGTTTTTTTCAGTACATTATTGTATTTACAAATGAGAGACATCCAGTATCATAAGCATCCAAGAGAGTTCTCTTCCTAGTTATATTGCCTACAGCCAATGTAATTAGTTAATATACCAAATAGCCTAGCATCTTATGGTACAGTTTCTCTTCTTCTATGGACAATTATCAGGCTGTCCCTCTTCTGAAGCCTCAAGATTACATATTTTGCAAACTTAGCTAAAAACTACTTGGCAGAATCTATTACTTTTTAAAAAAATTTTGAAGAGTCAATGAGAAATCATGAAGCATGTCCAAGGGTGAAGCATCAAAGAAAAGAAAATGTTCAACAAAGGGATGGTGACAATGGTTCTGGATAACAGAAAATCAGTTGGCTTCAACAGTGACACTGGAAGAAATGCAGCCAAGACACGGCTGCAGGCCCTCCCACGTCATCATAGCTCCTCTGCTCCCACGGACACAGCAACTTGCTTGTGAGTCAACATAACAGTCAATACAAATCTTCACGTGTTCCAGAGGCTTCAAAAGATGCATAGATTATCCTAATAATGCCACACAGGCCAGTAAAACTTCTCATAGATATCTCTTGAAAAAAATTAAAAATATATCCACTTTCCAATTAGAGAAGTCTTCCAGCCACACAGAACGTGAAAGTGGAAATTATTGTAGGTTATTACAGTTGTGGTATCAAAATTGTATTTCTTTTTGCAGGTTTCTCACCAATTAAACTTTCTTTTATTTGTTTGTTGCTGTTGTTTCATAACATTTTTAGAGTTTCTTGGAGGATAGAGAAATGACACTGGTATATCTAATTTTTCCTCAAGAGTGTGAAATATACCTTTGAAATGATGGGTTTGAAAACATTTGAAAAGATGTTAAAATCCAAACCAAATGTTTACATTTGAGACTATGTTATTAGTGATGAAGCAGTTATAATGTATCAATGGCATTTATAATATGACTGGCATCATGCAGAGCCTACAGTTTCTTGAAAATATCTGGCATATAAAGCTAGAGCGATTATTGGAGCCAGATAAATGTCCTATGAGTGAATTTGTGATCTCAATAGCTAAACATATGTGAGACCCTGGAAGGGGAACACAGCAATTTGTATTTGTAAATTAGATTTTTAAAACAATAATAAGAACTAAGAGTTAATTTCTTACTTGGGCTGTTTGTGAGAACTTCACAAAAGTTTACCGTCCAGTGTCACTAGAATACTGTTTCAAGTATAGAAGATAGGATTTGTAATGGAAATTATTAGTCTAGGAGTTTTCTTTTGGAAAAAACAGAAAGGTTCTTTATTTGTAGGAACACTGAGATTATCCTTAATATTCTGAAATACCAGTTTTTGTAAAAAGTACCTTAAATGCTTTCTTAGTGCAATCTGAGGTATCAGACAAAAGTCCTACTGAAAATGACAAAAGAGTTTTGCACAGAAAAACTGGAACATTTTACAAAGGTCAGGAAAACAAATTTTAATTGCTATATTATGGACATATATCTGATTATCTCCTCCCTGCCCTGGCAGACTGTTACCAAACTCAGTAAAACTGATCCACTGAAGTTAAAAGGAATTTAAGGTGATAACAGATTTGACATTTGTGTCTATCTTATTTACAGTGAACAAAATGGGACCTTCTAATATATGAGATTATAAGCCTGAGAATGTTTACTCTATCCATTTCCCAAAGAATAAGAAATTGTTGATAGTATGTGAACAGTCTTAGATAGTCCAGCACATAACACTGGATGTTATTTATTCACTAGGGGAAAAAAATCTCTTTCAATTGTTTCAAATTTGATTACATCAAAGAAAAAAAATCTTACTTGCATACTGTCTGTTTCTTATACTTTGCTACTTTTCCTTTTTAAAAAGATAATGAGGACGTCAGGCTCTGAGATGTGAGAAGCCAACAGAATACAGAAAGAATCCAGAAACAATATTCACTTTATACTTCTTATTTTCACTTCTCTTTTATATATATAAAATATTATTATAGTTTATAATAATGAAATTTATTTTCTCATGTAAATGCAAATGTTTAAGCAAAATGCAAATCAATTTAGGAAATAAACATATGAAGTATCATAGGAGGTTCAAGGATATGATAAGTATTATTAAGATGGTGAACAAATTTGAGCACACAATTTTAAGACTAGTTCCTCCACATGAGTTTTGAATATTTTAAAATGCTGATTTAATTTTGAATGAGAATCCTCTGAATTAGATTCTTTTTCATTAATGTGGTCAAGATAAACCATTTTAACTGATTCCAACATTTGCCTGCTTTGTTGAAACTCTAGTGAAGGTTATGACGCAAAGAGAGATGGGCCAAACAAGGCTCTCTTCAAGAATGTCAGAAGTGACATGATTGAGTGAATGCAGCACCACTCCACCAAGCCGAGGACTCTGAAGCTCCATATAAATGTTCTTGGGCAGTAGAGGATGTGCCAGTCCTGGAGGGAGAATGCCACAGAGGCTCTTTGTATGCTCATACAAAGAGTGAAATACTTAGTCAGAATTATAATATTCCCATCTGCTGGCAGGGCTCCATGTGAAATATGCTCTGGAAACTTGAGCGGCTGCTGCTTTCTTGGGGCTGGCTGGAATTTGTGCTCCATCATAAATCTCCTTGGTGTAACTAGCAGAACAACCATAAACACTTCCCTGAATCGATGTCTTTATAACCCTAATGAAATTTATATCTATGTTTCATGTAAAATATTCCATACTTCCAACTTAAATGTCCTTACAAAGGAAGCTGATGTAACCTCAGAAGGCAAAAATCAAAAAAAATGAACGATGTGGGTTTCTTTGCTCTGTTTTTTTGTCCCTTGTGACACATTACAGATGTCTTGGCCTCACAAGCGAATGAACTAGGGTTTAGGAAATCCCAGTGTTTCTAAGATCTCATAGTTGAGAATATTAGTATGTTTGGGGCAGTGGTGTGGTCACCTGATTGGAATTTCTCTTTAAGAAAAACTGAAATTGCAAACTTCAAATTACAAAAATTCTATGTATGGGTAGCAGGTCAAATAATAACTCGATTCACCTGGTGTTTCCTCGGCTCACACTTTACCTTATTATAACTACTATATTTGCAAATTATAAATAATATCGATAGAAAAGTAAATATGGAGAAAAAAGACAATAAATAATGGGAGTTATTTGAATCTTCATTATTAAAAAACTTAAAGGGACTAAAAGAGTAGCTTGATGGTACAATGCTTGGATAGTATGTGCAAAGCCCTGGGTTTCATCCCCAGCACATTCACGCACACACACATACACACAAAAAATAAATAAAAACAAGAACTATGATTTAGTGTATATATATATATATATATATATATATATATATATATATATATACACTCATATTCTAACCAATATTCATCAACAATAAAAATAGAGAGCAAAGTATAACCATGGAAATTGATTCAAGTGTCACAAACGTTTGAACATAAAGTTGATTTCAGTGAAAAAGTAAATTTCTAAAATTATTTAGTATTTTTTAATTTTAAAATCCATTTTCCTGAAGAGAATGAGCTGAATAAATAAATATCATGGAAAAATTAGCTTTTCTTTCTCAGATCTCTATTATAATGCAAATTAATTCCTTTTAATTGAAGCTTTTTCTCTTAAAATTTCCTTTGGAAAAAACTTTGGCTAAAAGTGCAGAAGAGGAGTATGGAAATGAACTCATTCCACTGGTTATAACAATGGGGAGCTTGAGAGACATAAGTGATATTTATTTTTCTAGTCTTGCAAATGTACAGTAAGTATACCAATTGCCTCCAATAACAGAAATTTTGTTGGAACATCAGATTTCCCCACCCTTAGAATACATTCTTTATTTTGTTAGACATCCACAAATATAAAACATAATGATTTCTTACCATTCATTTGATTATCGACTGTATTAGTAACAGGCATGTTAGTGGTGACAGTGGGTGGTGTAGTACTAGCAGAGTTTACAGTAGCTGGTGATAAAGATGAGAAAGATGTAATTTTGCAAGGAGCACATAACAGTTAATATGGATGAGCGATCTATAATTAATGCATGAAAACACATAGAAGAGGAATGGAAACTATTTCTTGGCACCAAATACAACAGATTCCAAGGTTATAATGCAGAAAATGAAGTGATGCTTTCTATGGTCCATCAAGAATCAATTCACATGGCTTATGGCCATACTACACAAGGGACTGGAGAAAAGGTATTTATAGTTTAGACCCAGGTGTGCCATCAACAGATTGGCAATCAAATAGCAAACAGATCAGCAAACCTTTCCATAACTCAGTTCCCTGAATTCATTAAAGGAAAAATTATAGAAGGCATTCTGTGCAGATTACACCTGGAAATTTATCCAAAGTCAGTCTGCCTGATACTCTGTGACTAGAGGAATAAAATCTCAGAAGAAAATACATCCCTCTTGAAGAAGAAAAATGTAAAGAAAAAGGAAAGAGAATGAAATGTACAGAGTAAATAATTTAAAGATCCCAATACCTTTACTTTAATATCGATGGATTAAAAAGTATTTCACAAGGGCAACCCTCACAGAGGAGACATTTTCAAAGCATTATGTCATAGATATGCTTCTAATACATTTCAAACTCTCAAAGATTAAACCCTTACACAATGCTTTGATAATATTTTCTAATGGATTGGAGGGGTTATATAAGGATAAATATATATATAGATAGATAGATAGATACAAATATAGATATACACATGCATATATGTATACATATGTATCTATGTATGTATAGTAAAATAAAGTATACACACTATGTATCCAGTATATTCATGTTAGATGTACATTCATATATACAGTAGCCATTTGTTACATATCTCTTTTAACTGAAAAATTATTTAAAACAGAATTACACAGAGAAATGCCTTCCAAAGGCTCTTTATAAAATACTGATTTCCTTGATGCATAATGTGCATTTATAACTAAAATAACTTTCCATTCCAAATACTTAAGAACTGGGAGTTATTTTTTAAGCCTTTTATTATCAACAATCAATTGTGTTTATTGTGATGCAAAATACATCACAAAAATGCTTTTTGGTTAGGACATGGAGGGAAAGCAAAGAAAAAGCTGCATATCTGGTCCTTTGTCCCAGAGAGTAAGTACTTATAGATATCTTGGATTCAAATTAATAGAACAATTTAAAAAAAAAAAAAAAACTTTCAGATCCTGAACTAAATAAAGTTAATCTTTTTTGGTGTATTTCATATAACTATTTTAAAGTTACACTGAGTTTGTGAAAAGAAACCAAACTTACTTTTCATAGGGTTTTGACAAATAACAACACAAGAAATGTCTTAGGAAAACAAAGATAATAATAAGTTTCCCCACCCCTGCTTGCCCTAGTCCCACACTGGAACTCTAGAAAAGAGCTTAGGTTTCTACTTGTTTGTTCTCACTTCCAATCAGTCACCTTGGTGCCATGATTCTTTTTTAATAAGAGATTCAGCTTTTATAAAAGGTATGGCCATGGTTCTTATGTAGCACGTAGAACATGCTAGTTCACGTAGAAGTATTTAATAGAATAAATGGGTAAAAAGGAGCCATGGGTAATTAGAAGAAGCAATGATAAAATTAAAGCAACACATTTAAACTACTATTTTAAAACTATTTAGCATGCAACTATTTAGTGTATAATACATAATTAAATATTGACCACGATGTAGTCCTTAAACATCATAATAAACGTATTAACAATGGGTTAGTATAACCATCTTTATCTTAAGATTTAAGTTACATTGCACATCACAAACTGCCTCCCAGACTTGTCTTAAATTTAACTAAAAATTCAAAAAATTTCCTCCTTGTTTTATAGACACTAATACTTCTTCAAACTACTGTAAAACTATATTTATGCTGGACCTTTGCAATATTCTTGAGAAGAAACAGGGGAAATGGAATCCACCCTTGTTGAATAGCAAATAATCATTCACGTTTTTTAAAAAATCTCAGTGCTTCATGGAAATATGTCAACAGTGTGTGAATGCATTCTTTTTCCACACTGCATGTACAGTGCACCAACACAACTAAAACACATCCAGAAATTTTTCTGTTTTGTTGGCTTCTGGCCTTCTAAGTGAAAATAAAGATAAAAATCAAAGCAATGACCACTACATGATCCAAAATAACAAGTACAACGTGGACTCCCTACCTTGACAGAGGGTCCCCAGTTCTGCACAGTTGGCTAGTTCTGCTGCCGGGAGCGGAATCAGGTAGGAACCTTGATCAACACAGAGGGAATATACCAATTTTGACTTATGATTAACTGACACCATAAAAAAATCATGAACCAGATAGTGGAATAGGAACAGCCCTAAAAAAAGCCCATCAATAATACTCTAACAGAAAAGTTTCTTAAGGTCACTGCAACCTTAATTTTCTCAAATACAAATTCGAGGTATTGAAATTACCCTCAAAATCTTGAACTCAATTTTTCAGCCATGCAACATGAAATGAAAGTAAGAGCTATGGTCCCTTATAGTTTGTGTGAAAAAAGGTCAGGGCTTTTTTACATAATTAATTATAAGGCTCTGGTGGAAAGTCATACAAATGAAATAGTACAGACATCAAGGCTAAGTTTCAAAAGTGAACTTGCAGAATTATGGATTACTCACCAAATACATATTTTTGGTTCATAGACACTAGCATGCCTATCCTACTTACAATCCTAGACTATGTTTCTGTGATTCAAGTCAGTCTTGCATCTGTTTTGTTTCAGGCTTTTACTGACTCATTTTCAGCAGGAAGTAAATTTAAAGCTGATTTTCTAGAAGTAGTCGTGGATTTTCTCTGTTGCAATAAGACTTCCTGTGACAACTGACAGACTTTTACCAGTACATGGTGGCCAAGGAAGATGGGCTAAATAAACTTATTATAAAGTATACAGCATTTGAATAAAGTCATAGGAATAAATACAAAAGTAGATGACATACGTGTGTGTATACCTACAGATTCATATGTATGCACATACATATGTAATATTACATGTTTAAGGGACATTTATATGACAATGATTTCATTCTAATGTTTGAACCTTTTCCCAGCTTTCCCACGGGAAAAGGCAGAGCAGATGCATGAGCTCACAAAAGATTCCTAATGAGGTAAACGGTGTGCATAAGCAGAAAACACCCCAGCAGTTTAACAGCATCTCAGGAGGCACCATTTCCTCATTCTTGATTGCCTCAGGCACCAGGCTCAGGGAAGGGATCATGGTATACCAGAAAGGCCAGCCTTACAAGCAGGTCTATGATGTGATATCAACTAGCAAGAAGCTCTCATCAGACCTTTATATGTTCATGCAACACAAACTCACTCATTGCCTACAATACATGAGGCACGGAGGTCAGGACAGTGTCCCCTGCAGTGCTGCTGCTCTCAGAGGCATGAATGGAGCTGGCTGCACAGTTCTGAGTGCTGAGGGAACGGTGGTGGTAGCAGTCCCCAGGGGGATATGACAGCAGCTTGGTGAGGAGAGGGAACAGGAAATCTATTACAATGAAGGAGACCCAGGAGGCATGTGAAGTAAGAGACCTGGGGCTGCCAGACGATTTCTAAAGCATATACCAAGAAGGTACTGAAGAGATCTGGGAACTCAAGTAATGTGGCATTAAAAATGCAATAGAGTAATTATAGAGAACAGTAGGGACATCATGATACACAGGTAATCAGCAGACAGTGGAGGGCCTTGTAGTAGGAGAGACACTGTGTCTTTCTTCCAGTGGTGAATCCCACACACAGTAGGTGGGTGCTCAAGCTGAACTGAATAAATTACTCAACACATTATGAATGACTGCTAAAATTCTGACCTTTTTCTTAAAGGCAATGGGAAAAAATGAATAAGAGCTAGGGAAAATTAGATTTATATTTGAAAACGATAATTTTTGACATTCTCTCACCAAAACAAGGAAGACACAAAAAGAAGGAGTAATACTAACAATTCAGGCTTGATATCATGAGTATAGTGAGGAAGGACAGAGAGAAGCATACATGCATTTAAGATTTATCAACTTACAGAAGAGAAGAAAGGACATTTCGCTAGTTTCCAAATTGAGAAATAGGCACATAACCATCTCATGAAAGGAGACAGGAAATACCAGGACTGCAAACTTAGGTGGAGATGGGTAAAGAGTAAGGGCTGTAATGAAACTGAGGTGCTGTGCAACATGGGTCTTCCAAGAGGCCTAACCTCACGGTTTTGATATGAGAACAGAACAGAATGAACTCTGGATATTCCCAGGGTTAAGCATCAGTCATACAGAACACAGAAGTTAAAAACAGCTTCTGTGGAAAGTGGTCTCAGGGAACATAAGTGAAGAAAGTTCAGTGAAGGGTGTGGCGGTACCAATCAAGTGTGCCAGAGGGGCAAGGAAATGATGGAGACCCATAAAGAGTCCTCATTTTGTTCTAGAATTTTGGTAGCAGTTCTACAGAAATTAGTTTTAGTCTCATGGGAATGATTCAATTCAGACTCCTGAGGTTTGAGGAGTGCATGCTGGATGAGGATGTTTGGTTGTGCAAGGAAGCCGAGATGGGGAGGGACTTTAAAAAAGTTTTAAAGACTCAAAAACTAAACCAAGTGTAGTCTGGCAAAAAAAAAAAAAAAAAAAAGCATTTGAAGAGGCAGAAGGTATGGAAGGATGGAGGGAGAATCATTTCATCTTGAATGCCATCTGCCCTCATTCCTTTCCATCACCATGTATGTCCACTTTTTTCAGGACCTCATTCTCCCACAGGCACTCTTGTATTTTGGTAATGAACTTTTAAAAGTGAAAAAGCCTTTAAAACTCAGAGCGACTGAGGAAATCTCAGTCACTAACATGCAACAGAGGAGACGGTTGGATCGAGTCCTCTGGTTCTCAAATTACACACAATGCTGGCAGTCAAAGGCTCCTTAGGCCACTTCTGGAACTGATACAATATCTCTGGAAGACAAAGGGAGATAAGGGACAGTGGTGTGGGAAAGAAGTTCTTAAGCTAACTACATTTCCACTACATTATGTTAGAGAGTTTAGAGGGGGAAAAAAAAAAGAAAAGAAAGTCAGACAGCTATGATTTAGAACAAGATATGCAATCATTTTCTTGAACATTTTATCAGTTTCACTGTATGGTACCAAGTATAAATATCAGTGTGTGACGGGCTTTCCTGGGAAATTATAGCATTTGCCTCTCAATATTTTAATTTGTTGTTCTTCCTGGGAAATTTTACATTAGCAAATTAATATTGCCTTATAAATACTCAATAAACACTATTTTATGATGATCTAACAGGGCAATAGAAATTCAACAGAAATTAAATATGAAAACTGCATTATGAAAGTGGTATAAAAAATAACCAATTTAATTGGAAGGAAGTTACCATAGTGAATGAAATTTGACACTACAAATACACCAAATTACATAAACAAACACATGAAATATAAAATGTCTATACAGTCAGGCATAGTGGTGTGTGACTGTCATCCCAGCTACTCAGGAGCTGAAGCAGGAGGATCACTTGAGCCAATGAGTATGAGGCTAGCCTGGCTAACATGGTGACATCCCATTTCAAATAAAATCAAGTAAACAAACAAAAAACCCAAGAGCAAACCCACTCTTCCATTTCTACCTAGTTCCATTTCCAGCATATCTGTATAAAATAGCCAATGTCATGATCAATTTGGCTAGGCTGATGGATTTACAAACTGGGAGCTTAAAGAAGAGGGGACAATCTTCTCTTCCAGATACTGACATATTTATCACCAACAGTTTTTATAACATGAACTGTGTATGTTCCCTGATTTTTGAGGCTAACAAAAGTATTTACTTAATAGAAAAATTTAGTCAAGTTTTCTTGAAAAAAGAAACAAAAACGTATATGAGGAGTTGGTGAACAGCTACATAGCTCCAATCTTTTTTCTGTACCTATTGTTGCTCTTCCCACATCACACTACTGAAAGAAGTCACTATATATTTATGTAAGTTATGGTTTAAATGGACAGATGTGCAGCCAGTAGCTTATCTCATACCCTACTTGATAACCCAAATAATGGTAACCCTAACAGTAATTTCCAAAAAGCATAAAATTAAAAATTGGACCCTTCCCTTTTCTCTTTCAGTCGTTACTAAGAAGGATTTGATAAATTTTCAATAAAATATGTTTGAAATTAAATTATTTCTGGAAATTACTATGCTAATAAAGAGTTTGAATCTTCTCAAAGAATAAAATTCCTTGTAAAGATAAAGTGATTCTATCTTACTTTTATTTCAAGATGATTTAGAAATCTAAAAATGCTAAACTCAATAATTTGTTAGGGAGAGAGGGCAGGATTCAACAATGAATGAGTTTTATAGCTGTGAGGGATAGAACTGTAGAAATTAAGAAAGGGCAGGTCTCTGAGAGCTGATGAAGCCATAGCAACAGGGTGTAAAATCTTGAAGATGAAAACAAAAGTCTATAAAATTGTAAAAATTTCTGGAGAGGAATAAAAACAAAATCGGGTACTTGTGATCTGTGTCTTATCTCTATATCCACAGTGACTAATAGAGGGAAGTGCTTAAGCTATGCTTGTTAAATAATGTAATTTGTTTGAACTCCTGCTATTCACTGAGTTATACTGTACCACTCCTCAGGAAAGAGCGGTAATCAGTAAAATAAATAAAACGGTTAGAGAGAGCACTGTCTGTTCTTTGTGAAAACTGATGGACATCAGCCAGTGTCTAAACCTGAATTATAACACAGGCAAATGCTTGCACCTATAATTAAAGAGTCAACTAAGAAGATTATCTGTTCCTGAAGGTCATAAAAATGAATGTTTAAAATTTTGTTCTAGGAAAAATAAAGGTGCCACAATGTGAAAAAGAATTATTGCTACATAAATCATTTATTTCTGGACAGGAGAAGATTTAATCATAAATTTAAAAATCAGGGGAAATTTTCTTAATTCAGGCATATTCATTCCCCAAATAAACTTTGAAAAAATAAAGGGAAACAAAATGTCCAATTATGAAATTGTTAAAGCTTTTAATAATAACATTCATGTTATTATGGCAAGGATATTTAATACATGGGAAACAAATGACAGGATATTTAAATATTAAACGCAGACTATTGTTTTACTATCTTACTTTCATTATAACTAATCTGGCAAAACACCATTGGAAAATCCATCCATTTCCTATTACAAATTGATGCTGGAATAGCTCATACCTAATAGACCCTGTCAGTCCAGTGGAATGCTAGGAATGGGATCCTATTTTCTCACTGGTTACTGTACTGATCATTAGTTTGTTGGAAATTAAGATAACCATAGACAGCAAAGCAAAATGTTCTCCAGAAGGAAAAAAAAAAAAAAGAAAAGAAAGGTTAAAATGTTAATAGAACACACTTTTTTCTACTTCTTGAAGTTTTTCTTTGCTAACAAAACTAGATATAATCTCTGGTTCAGGTATTTCCTGTCAGTTAATAAGTAACTGGGATTCTTCAACTCCCAGAGCTGATGATTAAGCAACAGGAAATCCCCTTCTCCCATAATTACTTCCAACACACAGTCCAGGGCACAAGTGAACCCAATTGGGGTGTCTAGTGTCATCCTGGAATGGAAAGAAGGTGTCTATAAAAGAGAGATTCAAATTAACTCACTTTGATGCTTGTGATAGTTCTTTGATGAAATCATTTTGAAAATGACTAAGTCATTTTGCAAATGACTAAGGTACATGAACATGTATATATTCTAGTACTCTTTTTTTTTTTTTATTAAAGAGGGAGGGGGAGGGGGAGGGAGGGAGAGAGAGAGAGAGAGAGAGAGAGAGAGAGAGAGAGAGAGATTGAGAGATTTTTTTAAAGAGAGAGAGAGAGAATTTTAATATTTATTTTTTAGTTCTCGGCGGACACAGCATTCTTGTTTGCATGTGGTGCTGAGGATCGAACCCGGGCCGCACGCATGCCAGGCGAGCGCGCTACCGCTTGAGCCACATCCCCAGCCCCATTTCTAGTATTCTTAAGGCTTGGAAAAGAAGTCTTGAAGATAAGAGTTTAAAAAACATGAGGATGCATCATCTCATTACATGTGGATTCTAAAAAAGTTGAAATTATAGAAGCAGAGAGTAGAATGGGGGTTCTTAGGGGCTGGAGTGTGTGAGATAGAAAACTACAGTTAAACAGAAATAAGAAGACAAGGAGATGTATTATGCAATATGATGACTATAGTTAAAAACAATGTAATGTACACTTGAAATTACTAGGAGAGTAGGTTTTGAATGTTCTCAACACAGATAGATGACAAGTATATGAGGTAACAGATTAAGTAGACTGAATGAATTAGGTAACAGGTTAATCAGCTTGAATTAGCCATTCTACCAAGTAAAACATATGCTGAAACACCACATGGTATACCACGAATCACTACACTTTTTGTCTGCCAATTTTTAAAAATTAAAATTAATTAAAAGCAAAGAAAATATGAAGACTCCCAGATACAATCTGGAGAAGGAGACCAGAGTTTTAGCCCACCAACCAACTCCACTACTCAATTTCCCTAAGGTTCTAAGGTTTCCCACCCTGTATTACCAGAAAGCAGTAGCCTAAACTGCGATTCTCAAACTTAAATGCCTACCAGGGTCAGAAGGTGATCTAAAGACAAAAGAAAGGGCTGCAGTAGGAAGGATATGGGGAGTGCTGAGGGCTGAGGTGACCTGGAAGATCCCTAAAGGAGCAGATGTCACTTAACTCCACTTGCATCATCCATGTAGAAATTCCAGCCAAGTGCTAGTATTTTGATTGCCAGAAGAACTCCCAATATTCATTTTTGTGTGAGATCTATTTTTTGTTTAATGTGGGAAATAATTCATAGTTTAAAAGAATTATGTGGAACAAAAGCAAATAAATGACAATAAATACCACCACTGCCAACCAAGACTAAGGGTTAAAGAGCCTGTGAGTGATTGGCTCACTTTGCCTGAAGATCTGACAGGTCTTTTCCAGGTTTTCCCAAAATGTGAACTTCAGCAAAATGGACCCTCATGATTCCTTGGACTAGTTCTAGTGTTGGCAATTTTCTCACCAAGAGCTTCATAGTAAATATTTTAGGTCTGTGGTGTATCCATCACCATCAGTCAACCTAGCCACTACAGCACAGTTGAAGCCATAGAAAATATATGCAAAATGGGCACGGCTATGTTCCAATGAACCTTTTATTTTTTAAAAAAGTGGCCTACCATAAGCTCTTAAAATTGTAACTTCTGGCCTCAAGGATCTCATAGTTTAGGAATCCCTGTAATACTATGTCCCTCATATTTTATTATACTAAGGTATCCAAGAAGCACTGCAGGAAAGCAACCTTATTAAGTTTGTTTCAAACAAATACTATGTTAACACCCTGTAAATCCAGTGTTTTCCCTCAGAATGTACAAAATGTGTTACTGGTTCTTGGACTTCATACTCTTCCCATGGGCACAAATTAGCTTAATTACTCTAGTACCATGTCACATTTTCTAGTCCTTCTTATGCTGAATAACTCTATAATTTATACTGGTTAAGACAGCAGAGTTCTACAGTCAGCTGTTCTGGGTTCAAATCCTGATGTGGTCACTTACTAATTTAGTGTCATTGGTTCAGTTATTTAATCTTCTCATTCCTGATTCCTCTTCTGCAAAATGGGGTCAAGAATAGAACTCACATGATAAGATGAATAATGTAAGAAACTATTAAATATTTGTAAAGTTTTTGAAATGATATTTAGTATATGTATTCTATTTCAATGTAATTTTGGGTTATCCCAGTCCTCAAGATATTGCTTCATAAAAAGGCAAATATCAGAATAGTCCATATTGTGACTTTTTAACACTGGCTAAGAATATGATGGAAAGAAGGCCTTGGACTGAAACTGATCTCCAAGAAAGTAGGGAATGCTCCCCCTCCTCACTCTTGATGCCACACCAAACACATACACTTGACCTTCTACATTTCCTCACTGAGTGAAAGACTTCTATAGGAGTCACTGAAGGTTCTCTAGCTAACCTTAGACCAGAGTATGATCTTAAGGAACACTCTTAGCTCTTCCAAAGTTTCAGTCTCCTTCCAGAACAGGTTTGTGGTTCACCCCTCTTTCCAACAATCCATAAGAAAATGTCTTCCAAATGACATCAGTTGATAGCCTTCCTACCATCTGCAGGAGTGCTGTGGACCACAGAGAGAGATGGGTGACCTCCATGGAGGGAAAGGTGACAGGGATTTCCCAAGTCCGAAAGACAGGCACAGTCCAGGAGACTTGGGGAGGTGGCCTCAAATTTACAATGGGTCCTCCTTGGTGCAAAATATGAAGGAAGATCTGATAAAATTCTTCCCAAAGTTACATAAAATTACTTTGGACTTCTAGACCTCTTCTGCTCTCCTTTACTGAGAGTTAGCTCTGTGACTAAAAAGTACATATTATCAATAGTTTAGATTATCAATGGCATTTAAAATTGATAATAAGGGGCTCAGTGGTAGAGAACTTGCCTTGTACACATGCCTCACACTCGATTCAATCCTCAGCACCATATAAAAATAAATAAAATAAAGATATTGTGTCCAACTACCAAAACAAAGCAAAAGGTGGAATAAAAATGTTGTTTTTTTAAAAAAATCTATATAAAATAAAATAAAATTGATAATAAAATATTTACTGTTATATTTAAATAAAACCTATAATAAAGACTTCCAGAATTAACTTGTATACATAGGAAATATTTGATAGAAGTCTATGTTTTAGAATTAGTTTTCTAAATACTTTGCATTTACCTACTTCCAATAATACCACATTAAAAGTTTCCTAAAAGGGAACCAGAGAGAAAAATATTTTAAATGACTACAAATGCTCATTTTCAAACAAATGAAGATAAAAGTTCAAAGAATAAATTGATAATTTCTGACTATCAAGATTTTCCATAAAATGGACAATTCAGTGTTTAGTACTGGCTGAGCAAATAATATTCTCTTAGGTGGTAGCTGTTTATTTGGGCAATGCAATTATAATTTCATTCTTGGATGGTAAAGATCAGGTTATTAGTAGATCACTTTCGTGAATAATAACTTATTTATTAATTTATTTTGTTTCAAATCAAGAGCTAACATTTCTATTTGAGACACAATAATTATAACTGTTTTGATAGTGACAAACTGTGTGACATTCTATGACCTAGGGAAACCTTAAGAATGGCAAGACCAAAAGCTTTCATTGAGTCAGCATGGCTTATAATCAAATACAATTCTTGATTATGTTGTGATGATGGAGCAGATAACATTTTAAAAATTTAAAGAGCTCCTTAATGGTAATTTTATGCATGTGTGTGTGCAATTTCTTACTGACGCACATTTTCATAGAACAATGCTAAAAAACAAAGACTATCAATTCTCTATGCCACAGACTTACCACAGCTTAGGTTGCTTTCAGCTTTCAGAGCGAGGGTTGGGATGTTCCAAAAGTCATTCTGCCAGTCAACCACGTTCCCTTTCACATTGCAGCTGAGGTTGGAGAGGATCTTCGAATTCATGGTAAAATTCCAAAGCCGAAAGTTATAAATATCCCCTTTTAGGGAGGCAATTTCATTTTTATTGGAGCCCAACAACAATTTCCCATTCCCAGGAATGACTTTACTAATGGTAGAATCACACGGGACCATTTCGTAGATTCTTTTGAAATGGACACCGACAGAGCCTAAAGAATTATTCCAAACCATGCAGAGCTGCTCAAAGCTTTCAGTGAAAATGTCTTCTTTATCTTTCACAGGTAATGCGCTATTCAGCCAGCATTTTGAGCCAGAAATATTTAGGAAGTAGTCACCATTGGCCTTTCCAAAAGTGAGCAAGGGTTCGAGGGATGCATCCGAGTAAGAGAACGCCACCCAGTCACTGTCTTCATTGCCAACTTTGGCTGCTTCGAAGCACAGCGTGAAAGCACTGAGCGCTGGAATGGAGACACTCTTTGCAACAGATACCTGGTAAGCATCTACTGACTGGGGTAAAATGACTTTTTGATTCCTTAAGGACACAGCAACTAGGACAAAACACAGCACCAGAGATAAGACATGTTAACTGCAGAACAAGGACTACAGAGATGCAAACATCTGACCTCTTCTGTCCTCCACCACTTTCTACTCATTGACTTTTATCCACCCTCTGCCTGCTTGCTCCCCTCTTTCTCTGCCCTTCCTCTATCAACAACCCCTTACCACTGGTCTTAAACCAATAATAACACCAATAAGAAATCCTACCCATTTTAACTCTAATCATGATTGAATCTAATGCTTAAACTCAATTGAAGTTATAGCAAGCTAAGTTGGTAAGTATTTTTTTAATCTCTGAGTTCAAAATTAAAAACAAAACAAAACAAAAAAACTCACATAACTCCCCAATTAAGAAAGAACTAGTTTCCAAGAAGGCTTTGTATACACATTAAGATTTTTAAAATTATATTATTTTAACTGGGCGTGGTGGCGCATGCCTACCATCTCAGCAGGTCAGGAGGCTGAGACAGGAGGATGGCCATTTCAAAACCATCTTCAGCAACTTAGTGACGTGAGACCCTAAGTGAGTCGGCAAGACCCTGTCTCTAAATAAAATATAAAAAAGGGCTGAGGAATGTGGGTCAGTGGTTAAGCGCCCCGGGTTCAACCTCCACTACCCAAAAAAAAAAAAGTTATTTTTCAACTGTATTCTAAACATAATCAATTGTTCCATGTTTCATCACTCTTCCTGAACATTTCCAGACCTCCTTCTTCCCTTCAGATATTCCATATCCTTCTCTTTCTTCCCATCAGCAGGCTATTTTAGGAACAAATGTAAGTAGAATTTTATTGAGAAGAAAGAGTATAAGGCAAAATCCAACATAAATGGTATTTTAAGGTGTGGACCTTTTAAACCTGGGCATACGAGCTATTTTTGAGGGGCACTAAAGAGTACTGGTTAAAGGACAGACAATGAAGCTTCATATCCCAGCTGTTCTATAGAGTAGCCATGACCTTGGATTACTTTGCCTCTCTCTACCTTTGTCTCCTCATCTGTAAAATAAACAGTGGTACTATTAACTATATGGTCAATCAGAACCAAATAAGTTAATATCTTGAAGCAGAGAGTGGTGACCATCCCATAGCAATAAAGAGGAAGTGCTTATTATTATTATTTGTATAATAAATGAAAATAAATGCATTCATTGGCCTACTATATCTGTGATATATATGAAATTATTAAATAACACTATGAACATATTCCTATGCTAATATAATAGAAGTTGATTTAAGGATAAGTATGTTTCCTTAACAATGCTATTTAAGGGGCTGGGGTTGTGGCTCAGGGGTAGAGTACTTGCCTAGCACATGTGAGGCACTGGGTTTGATCCTCAGCACCACAAACAAAAATAAATAAAGTTATTTAAAAAATGCTATCTAAAAACTGTTTCATATGAATGGCAGTGCACATGAACATATGTTAATATACACCAAGAAGAGCTGTATAAGACATCATTTAATATAAATATTCTAGTAAAAAATCCACAGTAGAATTTTAGAGAACTGTGAAAGTCTACATTTTAAATATAAGGCAGTTCAAGGTCTGCTTATGTGAAGGGATAGTCATGCAATATGAATCTAGTATTCTATATGCATTTTATTTTTTTAAAAGAGGCTAGAAGGAAACAGCTGTGGATATTTCTTATGAGTGGTTATGAGTGTGTGGTGGGTATACAATGAATATTAATTCACGTCTTTTTCATTTTCAATTGTCCTATATTTCATATTTTTAAAACATTGTTTTGAAAAATTAAATCAAGTGTGTTTTACTTAACCACACATCTCTAATATCAATCACAAACAGTAAATAACTTCTCAACCAAAACACAGTTTGTAATGATGAGGGCCAGCCATTCTCATGGTTGCATCTGTCTGTCCCTCCCTCCCTCTCTCCCTTTCTTTCAAATATATTACATCTACTTAGGAAGCTCATAAGAAGAGGGAAAAACAAAAACAAAAATATGTAACTAAATTGCATAGTCTTAAAGCTTAAGCTTCCTTAAGCAAAGCCTGGTTTTAGAGATTACAAGATTATTTTAATGTTATGAGATGCTAGAATCTGGGAAACATTTACTAATAATGTTTTATTTTTTTCAGTTAAGTACTTTCAGGGGGCTTTCCTCAGGCTAATTTGTTACCTTAATTATTAATAGCTCTTTGTAAATTTACATGTGTTTTCTATATTTGTCCCCTAGGGTGGTTTTTTCAAAGGACAACATCTCTCTGTATATATATATATATTTTTGCACTGGGGATTGAATCCAGGGTTGCTTTACTACTGAACTACATCCCCAGCCCTTTTTTTTTTTATTTTGATGTAGAGACTCACTAAGTTGCTTAGGGCCTCACTAATTTGCTGGTGCTGGCCTTGAACTTGCCCAAAATAAAATGATTTCTAAATAAGGATGCTTTAAATTTTCAGTGGAGAGTTGTTAGAATTACAGATTTTAATTATTAGCAGTGGAGTATCGACATTGTCTTCCAAGCAGCTTTTAAATGCTCTGCATATAAACAGTATAAAAGAATTAAGCTCTACTGTAACCAGATTTGGGATCTGGTAGTCATAATTTGCTAATGAGAATGCTTAGAGAACATTAACAGATTCTTGCCCTTAAGTCCTAATCCTAATCATTCACATTCACATAAAAGAGCATAACTCTGTCTTCTGGTCTTTGTGTTTACTGTAGCACATGTTAACTGAAAACAGAAGGTTGGCTCTGCCTTTGGTTTACATACCTCTGATGTAGCTGGCATTGAAACCTTTCTTCTGGATGCTAAAGTCACTTGAAAAGGACACATGCATCTCATTCGCACTTGAGTTAAATGATAGTCCTTTGGCTGTTGCTCCACAAAATTTAGTCTGGCTCTCTCCATTATCAAGGGATAATGAGTCATAAATGCAATTGGGAGCTTCTTCAATGTCAAAGTCATTAAACGTTATCTGAATGATGTAGCCAGTGGGGGCTCGCAGGGTCCACATGCAAGCCTGGCTGTTAGGGTAGTCGTTGGGGTAGCACGGAGAAGTAAAGGTCCCAGACGGGCTGGACAGGACGACCCTGCAGTTGGCACATCCTCGCACTGTTGGCCAGACAAAAGAGAGACAGGGAGAAGGGCTGGGATCAGACATGCACAATAAACCAAGCATGCCACACGCTGGGGACAGTCAAACAGAAAACATTTAAAAATACCAAAATACAGTCGGGAAAATTAAAAGGACCATGAAACCATTTCAAGAAGAGAAAGAAATGCCAAGGGTGCAACCAAAAGGAAAAGAAAAACACAAAAATTTAGAGCAATGATTTTTAAACTCTAGGTGTTATATATAATGCACACGGGTCTTGCCATATATCACATCCAATTTCACGATCACAAAGAGCCTGGGGAGTCACCAGTGGATTTCACAAAGGTTCACTGACCCAAGTTAAGAAACTCCACGTAGTAATAGAACTGGATGGGAGAAGGTATAATCCATAAAGGTAGAGCTCAATATTACAAACTATGGAAACAAAGAAAAGAGAAACTCTTAGGAAATAAATGGTCGAAGAGAAAGCTAAAAACACAAAAGTTAAACAGGTTATCTTAAGGCAGATTGTACTTTTCCTCAAATTCAAATAAACATTATCACCTTGCGTGTGTAGAATATTTATAGTACTGAAAGTATTTCCATTTATCCCGTTTGTTTATCATGGTTGGTAATTATATGCTTCAGTGATCATCTCATTTACTCATTCATTCAGCAAATATTTACTGAATGCCCGTGTGTGCCAAGCACTATTCTAAATAGTAACATACCGTACTAATGGGAAAGATGCTCTCTGTGCAGGTTTACACTTCAGTCTCAGACCTAAACCAATATTAAACATAATTACAGATGATGATAAAGAAGGGGGGGTGAGTAAAGCAAGGGATAGACAGGGACAAGAATGGGTGGGCAAGTTGGGTAGTTATCCAAAGAGGTGACGTTTGTGCAGGGATCCAGATGAAGAGATGGAGCATGTCATCAACACACTAGGGGAATAGCATTGTAGGCTAAGGGTCCTCAAAATTAAAGCCTCACTAAATGAAAGCTGGGTCTCTCCCACTGAACTGCATGTCCCATGAGGCCAAGGGCCACATCTCTGTTGCTCATCACTTTGTTCTCAGTGCACAGGTGATATGCTTTAGACATGAGGTGTTCCCCAAAAGCTCATGAGTTAGACAATGCAAGAAAATTTAGAGGTGAAATGACTGGGTTATGAAAGCCTTAACCTAATCAAGACATTAATCCCCTGATAGGGATTAACTGAATTGTGACAGTCTGTAGGTAGGCTACAGCTGGAGGAGGTGGGTCACTGGGGATGTGGTCTTAGGATATGTAATTTGTCCTGGGAGCAGAGCTGTCTCACTCTCTCTGCCTCCTGGTGTGATGTCCTGAGCTGCTTTCCTCCTCGACTTTCTTCCCCCAGGATGTTCTGCCTCACCTTGGGCCCTGAGGAACACAGTCAGCCATTTATGGACTGAGACTTCTAAAACTGTGAGCCCCAAATAAACTCTTCCTCCTCAAAAATTGTTCTTGTCAAGTCTTTTGGTCACAGTGATGAAAACGCTAACTAAAACAATAGGGTAAACTTGCAATGAATATTAATCAAATGAATATATATTTATATAAAAGAAACTTCTGAGACAGAGGGGAAACATTATGATAGCATTTTCACTAACAAGAACATCGAGGATCTTCTCAATTATTTACCCATGGCCTGGGCAGCAGCTGGAACCAAAAATTAAGGTCAGCCGTCTTCCCATCCAGAGATGCTTCTGCATTAATATCCATGCTGTTTAAAAATGTTTGCATAGATGAAGGCAGCAACTTTGTCCAAACAATAGTCCAGATAAATAAGCTGCATTAAAACTGCCAGATGGGGCTGGGGTTGTGGCTCAGTGGTAGAGCGCTTGCCTAGCACGTGCAAGGCCCTGGGTTTGATCCTCAGTACCACGTAAAAATAAATAAATAAAATAAAGATATTGTGTCCAGTTACAACTAAAAAATAAGAATTTAAAAAAATTTTGAAAGACATCCTCTCAAAAGTAAAACCCTTTAACCATGTTAACAGAAAAGGCTTTAAATATATTGTTTTCTTCCTTTAACTAAACTGAGTAGAATGCCTACGTAGCAGCTTTTCTTGAAAATGGCAGTTATGACAAGTATTTCTGATGCTTCTGATATTCTCAAGGACTGAAAGCTGGTAGGCTGCTGAGGTTAGTTTTCCTTTCTTCTCTCTGTGGCCACTGGATTCACCTCTTCTTTGTCTTGCCACCTTGGCTCCCCACCCACTCTAACTTGCCCTCCCACTGTTCCTCCTAAGGCTCTGATATCTTATACTGGGCCAAAGACAGAAGAGAGAAAACAAATTATGATCATCACGTGTCTGCCAAATGCCTTCTCTTATCTATCCCTGGAGCACCATGTTCCACACCATTACAGTACTCTTCAGAGCAGCTGTGTTACTTCTATTCGTGAGATTGTTTGCTTACTGTCTGTCTTCTCCCATTAGCTCAATAAAGGGTAAAAACCTGTTACATTCACTACCCTATTCCCAACACCCCACAGTAGCCAAGGAACATGAGAGAACCTCAGTAAAATCTATTAAATTTATAAACAAATAAGATAGTAGCTTAAATGAATGAAAACATGCCTACATTAAAGAATGACTATGTGCAGCACATGAAAGCAGGTCAAATAAATTCTAAGCCTGTAAAAAGTCTGAATAGTGCATAAAATCTGGAACGTCTCTTTGGATGGGGCTTCTGGATCTTTCTTCAGATGATTTCATACATAGCACAGGATTGAGAAGACTTGGACTCTCTGACAAGTTTAGCAACCCATTATTATACCTTGGACTCAGGAGAGAGAAACATCCCTAGTCAATGATTTATATACAATAAATTTATCCAGTAATAGGCACTGGAGATTTAAAAAGAAAAAAAACTTAAGGAAAATAAGAAACATCATCCCATCATCTGTGTCATCCCAACATTCAGACAGGCACTATAATTTTTCTAAGATGAGATGTCATTTCTTATTGCTCAGATCCAAGCAATATTCAGAACTTACTTTATCCTGATATATTAGTTTTGCATAATCCCTCATAAAAGCTGAATAGAGGGTAAAGGAAATTAAATTTGACTGATAACACTGACTATGCAATCCTAAACATTAAGTTCATTTCTCTGGTCCTGTTTCTCCATCTCTACACAAGGGTTAACAATAGTACCCACTTTCTGGGGTTATTGGGAAGATCACTTGGGTTAATATTAAATAGTCCTGAAGGTTGTATGTGGCATGTTTTTAGCACTATGTAAGCATTGGCTGATCAGGAGTCGTTAGTAGTTAGTATAACAACAAATCTGTGCATCCATAATGTAAGAGAAGTAGAACAGCAGCCCACCTCAGTAGAATCTTTTACTGTAAGGAATTCACTGAATAAAATACAGAGAGATAAGACATCCATAAAACATATTAAAAAACATTTCAAAATATTCTCTTATATAAGTCTCATCCATAGTGGCTAGACAACATCTAGAGATAGTGCTACTAAATAGTAATTATCTTAACTGGATGAAATGCCAATTAAACTAGTTTATTATCATCATGTTCATTATATTTATGGATCACATCAAAGTAAAGAACTTTCATATATATATATATATATATATATAAAATTTCATTCAATATCACATTAACCCTGGTATTATGACTACCCCATCCTTTGAGGAAATAAATAAAACTAGGTTCTATAACTTGCTCAAAGTTACATATCTGATTGATAGTACAACCAAGATCCAAAGCAACTCTTCTGAATCTAAGTCTAGAGTCTTTTACGGGAGAAAAAAATACCACAATTAAATAAGTGATTCAGAGCAAAATAATGAGCTTGGGTACTTTTTTAACAACATTTTTTGAGAGTCTATTTCATCAGCTTAAAATTTATGTTTTAAAATAACTAATTTGGAAATAATTTAGTAAAGAATCTTAGAAAGTCTGAAATATAGGGCTTTGGATCTGTCTAGAAAAATCTAACATCATTGTTTTAACTGATTCCTACACTCTGAGACAGCCCTTTAATGAATAATCTGTTCTCTCGCAGGGCAGAACTGCTGAAAAGGAAGCTACTGAAGTAGCCACTGAGTAAGACCTTGCTGAAACCAGGATTAACATATCTTCTAGAAGCTACCTAACTCAAAGCATCTGCCTCATCATGTTCTCAAGGACAAGAGAGAGTAATGTGTCCTCACCTCCAATCTGTAACACAAAGTTTTCAGGCAACCTAAACATACAACAAACCGAATGCCACCCTCTGCCTGTGCTTACACGTGTCCAGTCATCAGGTACTTTCCACATTTTCACAGAAGTTTGTTCTTCAGCGAAACTCAAATCTACATGGGAAACCTTCCAATCATACCCAAGCCTTCTAACTCAAACAACATTGAGATTTAATAACCAGCATTTTATGGGGATTTTTAATCTCAGAGATTTGGATCCTTACTCCACTCTAGCAGTCGGACTTCTCATAAAATGCAAACACCATGTTTTTTTTTTTAATAGGAATTTTTATAAACAAGAATCTCTCTAAAATAGGAATTTCAGATCCCAAGAGATAAATCAAATTAGAGACCTAGTTTAGCTGCTTTCAACACTGATCTCTCTGCCTGGCACTGAATAACTGCTTTTTTTGTTTTGTTTTTTCCCTGCACTGAGTTAAATGATGAACAAAATGAATACATTTAAATCACATCTTTTTTCTTTATTTGGATGTGAGTAGGAGGGTAGCTAATTAATTTGCTGGAAAAGTTGACGAGTGAAAATGATCTCCATGAAAACTTAGCGTAAGTCATCTTTTCAATTTACATCTATTTGAAATCATTTTAATTATCCATGTGAATGTAGTAAGTTCTAATGAATGAAAAGCTCTTTTTTTTTTTTTTGCTTTAAAAAGTTTAAAGTATTTAATAGCCTTCGTGGTTTCTAAAGTTTAAATTTAAGAGTCAGCCGCTGAGAATCTAGGATCAGCTCTAATCATTAAAGGCCCAGGAGAGACACC